CCCTACATCCCCTAATCCGACCTGAGTCTTCCTCAGCGAGAAAGGCGGACTATTTAAATAAAGGAAACAAGAATAAAGACAGTAAACCTGACGGTGGCTCGAATTTGTCCAACCCGTTAAACAGCAGCAGCAAAGGCACCTCGAAGAGACTGGCCGAGCTCCACCGCATCTCGCGGCAGCGAGTTCCTCAAATCGGCCAGGTTTCCTTCTGTAAATGCCCAGCCTCCTGCCCATCAGTCTCATCTCGAGGGAACTTGCATTTGCTCGGTAGCCGCGTTGGTTTTGAAGGAGCAGAACAAAGTCTGAGTCCAGTGGCAACTGTAAGACCAACACAGTTTTATGCCGGGTATAGGAGCTTTCGTATGCACGAAAGCAGTTTATAGCCAGAATTAAACTTTGTTGGGCTTAAAGGTGCTACTGGACTCAAACTTCCTTTTTGCTCGTTGTGCTTGCTCCACCCCAGGTCTCTTCTAAAACGCGCTCCGAAGGGCAGGGAAATCCCCCCACCACCTCCGCCGGCTTCAGCCGAAACTTTCCGAACATGCGCTAGTCTCTCTACGCATGCGCAGTAGCATTGGGAAGGTACGTTCTTTTTGTAACTGGCTCCAGCCAAATGGGCGTAGCTTGTGACCCACTGGATGCCCCTCCCTGCGGTGGGCGCCCGCCATCTGGCGCCTGTGCGAAGAAAGCCAGAAGACCGCTGTTGATTGGTTGATGTGCAGTTTCCCGTCGCCTAGGGGAAATTTCCAGTTCCGGGGACGAGAAGAAGCAGGATGTTGGGGGACTTGCTAATTTGCGGGTAAGGAGAGGGAAGGGGTGAGAAATAGAGTTGCCCAGCAACCAGTCTCCTAATAAGGGTGAGGGCACTGTGTTGTTGTTTTGCCCCCCCCTCTAAACTCTGCCTTATGGGATGGAGCTAAGGTTGCAGAGCCCGGGTTGGCATCAAGGAGTCGTCTTAAGCAGCAAGCGGCTAGATATGCACCAGGTGCATTCAACGGGAGAGCTGCACCTGCTGGAATATTTCTTTCTCCCTAAAGTAGCTGTTGGATAATTCCTTTTTATTGGGAACAACAAAAATACCTCAAATAGAAAACAGTATACAATTGTTGTATTCGGGATTTTACCATAAAAACAGCTCTGTTTGCCTTTCAGTTTTGTAAATTTTCCATGTGGGTAACAATCACTAAATTAAAAACAGAAGCAAGAACTCAGTTTTTAAAAAGGTGACAGAAGTGGCACATTGTATTCAATTATGAGCTAACAGGAAAGAAAACAAGCCAAATACAGAAGCAGAAGTAGTGAAAAAACTCTTGGAACCTGTCCCGTGGCTTTCTTACTTGTTACTGCTGTTGACAGTTTTAATTTATGGGTGGGCCCTAGTGTGCCCAGACAGACAGCCTGAATTTTAAGGGAGAGTGCAACCCCATTTTGCACAGGTTGCATGACTATCTCCAAATAGCCATGTTTCCAACCTGACCGTTCTTCCTTTTTTAGATTAAGCTTTGGTTTGGTAGCCAGTGCATCAGTGCCCTTTATTGATAGGACAATGAGAACACGCATATGCCCTTATGCTATAGTCCCCAAATTTATTATTTTTTAATTTGATCTGTATCCCGCCCTCCCTACCAAGGCAGGCTCAGAGTGGCTTACATAAAATATATTGAACAACTAAAGCACAAAATCAATAAAATCACAACAAAAGGATTATAAAACATAGCATAAAGTGCTAGTGTAGATGCTGGAGTGTAAGGGACAAGATGTGCAGCTGTGAAAAGTGCAGGAGCTATGCCAAGAGGGAAAAAGGGGGGCTTGGAGTGAAATCAGTGAGCTGGGGATGCCAGGAAACATATAGGGAGGAGAAGCTACCCCTAAGTTGTGCCCTTTCAGCGCTCCTCCCTCTATAAAGCTCAGAGTTTAAGGAAGTTCTGGGACAGAGAGGACAAGGGAAAGGTTGAGAAAAAATAATGCTGCATTTCCATAGCTGAGTGAACGGTAACTTCTCTGATTTTCTTTTCCCACATAGGACACTGTTGGTCAATGCGGGAGCTGTGCTGAACTTCAGGCTGTGAGTGCTGGAGGAACTAGAACTGCCTGGTGTAGATGGGGTGGGGGTTATGATGGCAGAGCATTTGGAAACGACGACACGTGGTCCTGTGGCTGGGACTCAGTGCATCACTATCAGATTCTGGGTTGCTGGTCAGACAAACTTTTGAGATGTCCTGTTGCTTGGTGTTAAATCACATGGTTCTTAGAGGCATAGCGCCAGTCACTGATATGTCTGGGACAGGCCTCACTCTGAGAAGTTGGAAAACTGCTGCCTGAACTAAGTTGACTTACCTTAAAGCGGATTTATATGTTCAACCTCTTTTCCTTCCAACCTGTCCCCAAAGACCTTCAAAGGATCTTATGAAACATTTGTTTTTTTTGACCTTTTGTCTTGTTGTTTGTCCTTTTTTTGAGGGAATTTGTCTCCTCAATTCTGAACTATCTCTGTGCTCCTAGGGACATGGGAATAATTCTTGTGTGTCTCTGTCTCTCAGGAAGAAAAAGGAGAGCCAGGGCTTTGGTGAAGAGGTGAAAGAACCAACAACAGGTAAAAATCTAGAGCACCATAGAGTCTCAGTAGAGGCGATTATCCTGGAATGTTTCAGGGCAGTCATTGTTGACTGCTTAGTTCTGCCCTCAATGCCTTCTTGTCAGCTCTTCAGCTCAAGAGGACTACAAGCAGTAGTCCTTCAAATGCAGTTAAGGCATTGTGCTGTTGTTCCTGACAAACATCTCCAAGTGCTTGCTGCAGTATGAGTACTGTCGTCTTTTTCAATTCCTAAATGACAGCTCAGACTAATAAACCCTGGGGATGCTGACTCAGCTCCTTGAAGTCCTCACTGAGGTAATACTTAATAAATGACTCTGAACATATCCTGTATCAGTGCCCGGCCTTTCCTTTGAGCTGTGCTTCACATAAAGTCTTCTTGGAATGCATCACTTTTGTCACTTCACAGCATTTTGCATATTTGTGGCGCTGCGTTTGCTTTAGCTTCTCTTAAGAACATAAGAGAAGCCAATGTTGGATCAGGCCAATGGCCCATCCAGTCCAACACTGTCACACAGTGGCCAAAAATACCAGGTGCCATCAGGAGGTCCACCAGTGGGGCCAGGACACTAGAAGCCTTCCCTTTACCCTGTTCCCTCACTTGTTTAATTTATGTTACTCTATTCTTTCTTTTTTCCTGTCTGTGTTTTCTTCCCAGTCTCTCGCTTTAAAAAGATAATGAATTGGGCACTGCCCTGTTTCCCATAGGAGGGCAGTTGGGGAGATATATGTTGTCCCGTTTTATTTATCTCTGTTTCCTTCCACTTAGGTGATAATATCCGAGAGTTTTTGCTGAGTCTGAGATACTTCCGGATCTTCATTGCTTTGTGGAATGTCTTTATGATGTTCTGCATGATTGTGTAAGTGTGTGAAAGAGAATGGGGAAATTGCTTTATACCTTATTGCGTGCTTCTTAGACCTTGGATTTAGCATTTATATAATTTTTAATTTATGTGTTCTCCAGTCAGTTTTTGTAAAAGGAAAAACAGAGCTTTGTGAGAAATCTTATGCCCCATCTAGTCCAGTTTATAGAAGCATCACTTAGCTTTGCAACAGTGTCAAAAAATGGGAGAAACAGGACTGATCCAGCCACACTTCTCTAAATGAATTGGAGAAAGATTTAGGCCATACCTTGTAAGGTGAAATGTTCAGGTCTCGCCCCAACCAATCAACTCACTGAGTGGTTTTCAGCGACCTTCTTCTGTAAGTTTGAGGTGATGATATTCTTGTTCTACCCTACAGGCCTGTTGTAACAATAACTGAGGTTAAAAGTTGATAATTAATTTTACCTTGTCTTGTCTTCCACTAGGTTATTTGGATCTTAAACACAACTGGTCAACTGAGGTGACAACTGTAAATGTTATACTTGGAGTCCTTGGAAATGGCTTTCTGATGGAAACTTGACCTTTCTGACATTATGAAGTAAAAGATTACTAAGTTTTTAGTACTGGACTCTGACCTGTTCTTTCTCCCAGGATATTCGAGGATTGCAGAATGCCTTTGTGGAAATCGAACTCACTTCCTGTTGAGAGCTTGTCAGCAAATAAAGCATGCTTCTGTGGAATTCTGTGAATTCCTTTTGGCTTCTGCCTTTACGCTCAGGGAGAGTTGGATTCCAACCACATGCCTCCCTCCAAGTGGGCCTGGTCTGGTACAGGGATTAGAGGGGACCTGTGGTGCCATTCATGCCTGAGGCAGGCTCTGGCTTCATGTTAGTCTTATGCAGCTCACAATAACAGGTTCTTGCTGTGTGGAGAAGTACACTTTTTTAGCTTTGTGGGCCAAACGTAACCAGCATTGGGGTGGGTAGCAGGGCTCTTTTTGTAGCAGGTACTCATTTGCATATTAAGTGACACACCCCTAATGTAGCCAATCCTCCAAGAGCTTACAGTAGCTCTTGTAAGAAGAGCTCTGTAAGCTCTTGGGAGGATTGGCTACATTAGGGGGTGTGGCCTAATATGCAAAGGCGTTCCTGCTACAAAAAGAACCCCAGATGTATGTGGTGACCCATCCCCAGGATCTACTGCCTTCCAGGGTGTTGGGAGGGTGTGCAGGGACTACACCCTTAGAGTGGTGCCAAGAGCTCGGGGAGTCCTGGGACCCAGCTGAGTCCACTGTTGAGCCAGCAGGGCCAGAACCCCATTTCCCTCGTGTAATACTTCAGATGCACAGAATTAGGTCGCCTGGTTTTCAGTACAAATTTATTTAGCATTTATAGTGTGCTGCCTTTTTTCACTGAGACTTGAGGTGTATTATGCACAACAAGTCTGTGCAATCAGTTGTATTCAGTACACCTAATAAGCAATGCTCCCTCTAAGCTATGGAGTCCTGTGAGCAAAAATTCTCTGTGAGCTACTGGCATTAAAGTTGTGAGCGAGCAATTTGGCTACTGCATAAATGAGTTTGCTCTGGAGCCATCCTTCCTGAGCTAAGACAAAAATGTGTGAGCCAGAGGCTAAAAAACTATGAGCTAGCTCACACTAACTCATCTTAGAGGGAACACTGCTAATAAGTAACACGGTGTACAACTAGGATTGCAGAAATTTGAAACTTACCTGTTTTCTGAACAAAAGGATTAAACATCAGACTTTAAGTCCATGCTCCCCTGAGCACTGTGTAAGTTACTTCCCAGGGTTTTAAGGAGTCAGGGGAGGAGCTTTGTATGGATTTGTATTTTTATGTACATTTCAGCATCCATTTTAGAGAAGTGGCTGCCCCCTTTTGAGTGGCTGGCTTTGATTGCTTTTGTGTGTGTTGGGCGAGGGGGGCACACTCCACACACCCTCAGGAACAGTGTGGCTCCTTCACAAAAGGTGAGATGATTTTTAGAAATACACACACACACTATATATATGTATTTTATACAAGGCTTTTTTTTTAATAAAAGAGATGCTGGAACTCTCAAGAGGGAAATGAACTTTTCAATCTGTATACTTTTAAACATCTTAAAAAGAATTTTGTTGAATAGGTTCTAGACGTCTGGCCCAGCATATTCCCCCAGAAAAAAGCCCTGGTTGTACAGGTTCCTTTTTTAGGAACCGATTTTAATTTTCAGATAATCCCATTTTTAATCAAACACAATATAAGAAATAGTTATTTCATTCAAATTCTAAAACCAATGCTTCTCTGAATTTTGTGGATTTGATTTGAGGTGAGTTATGTAACTCCATTTGCCTTAATTTTGAATTGAATCTGACCTACCCCCCTCCCTTTTAGTTTTAAATTAAAACAAACAAAATAGTAAAAACCGGTGGATATAATTCAGAATTTTAAACAATTGATACAATATGACAATTTTCAATGAAGCCTATTGGCTTAATTTCCTTGCTTTTTAAAGGGCGAACTAGTAGGCTAAGGGAGATGTGGTTATTAAAACATTTTCGTGAGGGCTGAGTCTGATGGTAGCCTAAGGAGAAAAGGCGTCGGCCATAACGCCGTCCGCGCAGATCCTTTTTCCCGCCCTTTTCTTGCCCCTCCCCCGCCTTCCTAACCTTCAAGAACTGCGAAGGTGCTTTTGCGCAGGCGCTGTTGACCTCCCTGCCCCCCCTTCCCCGCCGCCGAGGTGAAAGGCGCGTGCACAATCGCGGGCGGTTGTTGCGTCTCCGCCCGAAGCTGGTGCGCCGTGACGCCACAGACACGCCGTACGGCGTGCCTCCGCCGCCGTCAGGCGTGTCCCATGGTGCACCGCGCGGGCTGGCTCCTGCCCACAGTTGAGTTCGGCCTCCGCCTCCTCCTCAGCCGAGCCCCAGGCCAGGCCGAGCCGGTCCCCCCTGCCTCCTTTCCTCCCTCGCTGCGATTCCCTCCCCTTCTCGGCGGGGCGCGCGAGCGGAACATGCGGCGCAAGCTGCCCCGCGGCTAGGCCGGCGAGTGAGGCCGGGAAGAGGGGCCGGCAGGGGAGGGAGAGGGGCCGGCAGGCAGAGGGGGGGGCGCCGCCGCCGCTTCTCCCCGCCCGTCTCGGCTCCCCCCCTCCCCCAAGCCTCCTCCCCAGGGAGGCAATGACAGCGGCTCCGGGACCCTCCCCGCAGCAGATCAGGGACCGGCTGCTGCAGGCCATCGACCCCCACAGCAACGTGAGTATGCGGGGAGGGGAGGGATGGAGGACGCCCCCCCCCCCCGCACGAGCATGCTCCGGTGGGTCAAGGGGAGGGCGGTAGCGGACGGGGCGCACTCTAGGCCTGGCTCCTCATTTGCACGTTCCCTTCCTTCTTCCCTTGCTTTGCTTGTGCGCGCTCCCGTGCGCTCGCTCACTTTCTCTCTTCACCCACCTGGCCAGGGGCTTCACTTGCCCCCCTGTCTGGTCTGTAATTGCTGTTTTGTGTCGCACCTTCGCATTTTAAAGCACTCTGCGTTTCTCGGCTATCAAGTCATCCTCATACCAACCCTGAGGAGTAGGCTAAGGTTCTCACACACCCATATTGTGCATGGGTAGGGGTCTGAGTTCTAATTTTAAGGTTGCATGGGGAGCTTGAGGAAGAGGTTAGATTTGAACTGGGGTCACAGCTGTTGTGTTACTTAATAGGTTGCACCAGGCATGCCTCTTGATACTCCCCCCTCCCCGATTTTGCCCCAGATTATTTTATTTGGCTTTCTCCTCCCTGGGGAGAATGGGGACAACACTCTCATTTATTCTAGGTTAAAGCATACTTCTGTGTCCTTGCTAAGGTGTGCTTTATCTGGGGATTCCTCCCCCAAGTGCATAGCAACTGCCCCATAGACCTTCTCTTTTCTGTGTCCAATACACTTGCAGCTATCTTTCTTGGCTGGCCCTGTGCCTTGGGAATAGTACCATCTAAGTTAGACACTGCAAAAACTGATCTGGTGGTGGGCACGCTTTTTGCCTGGCATGTCATTGGGTCTAAATTGCCTCAGCTGTGGAAAGAGGGATTGTGTGGCGCTTCTGTCTTTGGGACAGAAACCTTACCTTATAATGCTATGCTGCTTCTATTCTCCCCCAGGCTGTTCTGCCAGTTTCTTGCACTGAATATATTTGATGTCCTTAAAGGTTTCCTTGATTTTGTTGATTATTTATTACTTAAATTTATATCCCGCCCTTCCGAAGTGGGCACAGGGCGGGTTGTTGCAGTGGGGAAGTCCTGCACTCAGATGGCAAATCCTTGCAGGGTCTAAACTGTTCTGTCATGGGATTAGCTATCATCTCCTTTCAAAACTTGGCTGCATCTCCCATGCTTTTACCCAAAACTCAGTGCTGCCTATGCTGCATCTTCCCTATTGCCTAGCCAGCCACTCGTGGATTCCTGTGCTGTACTTTTGCTTCTTTCTCAGGTGTGACACACATACTAAAGTCATCTGCTTCATTCCCCCCCCCCCCCCCCCCCTCCTCCTGCTGGTCTAAGACAGTGTTGTTGACTTGCTTTTGGGAGCAGGCTGTGCTGTGAAAGGTCTTCAGGGTCAGAAGAGCCTACTTCAGCTTCACCCTTGTTACACCTGAAGGATTTTCTTCTGAGCTGCACTCCTATTTTTGTCAAATATTGAGTAATTAGAGTATTTTCAATATTATAAGCTCAGGATAATGTGTGGTTTAGAAAAATGTTTTCAGAGAGGACAGGATAGAAGTTTAAATTATTCATAGGGTAAGGAAAGTGGATAGAGAGAACTTTTTCTTTCCCACATATAGTATTAGAATTCAAGAGCACTTAAATACATTCAGAACAGACAAAAGTATTTCTTTGCATAATGAGTAACTGTATTGTGGGGTTTGCTGCTAGTGTATGTAGTGATGACCATGAACATAGACAGATGTAGAAGAGGACTGGCAAAATTCACTAGCCATGGTGCGTAAGGGGAGCCTCCACATTTAGAAGCAGCAATCTGCCTTTCTTGGACTACTTTACCAGTGCTAGGAGGCAATATCAGGCCTCAGCCTCTATGCCCTGTTCTTGGCCCTCAAGCACAACTAGACGACCACTGTGTAAAACAGGATGCTGGACTATATGGACCCTCACTGGTCTGATTCAGCAGGGCTCTTCTGTTCAGTGGGTGCAGTCAGACGGCGTGCTGGGAGCGGTTTAAATTGCTCCGGCCCTGATGCGGTCTTTTTTTAACCTGGAAAATCGTGATCACACTCACCTCCTTGCTCCGGATTGCTGCGCAGCCACATCGTTCCCCGCTGTCCACAGGCGGGAGCGTGCGTCGGTGTTGTTTTTTTCTCAGTTTGGGCATGCACACAGGTAGCCATCTGTAGAACTAAAATTTTCCTGTGTGCGCAGAACAGCAATTTCCACTTCAACCCGACTGCTGTAAAACTTCCCTTTAAACTTTAAAGGAACACTTGCCTTTAAACGTTTACCCCGAAAATGGCCTCCGTGAGAACTCGTCTAAATGCTAAAACTAGGCACTGTTTAAACATTGTTTTTAATAGCATGGTGGCAGAACTCCGCCTATGTGCACACCGGCAACGCTTTAAAAAAAAATGGTGGGCGAAAAGCGGAAGCCTCGGGCAGCTTTCAAGCGGGGAGGGGGTTTAAACTGGAAGTGGCTCGACACCGGAGGAGCGATCGCACAGGGGGGAAATGCAACTGGAAACGGAGAATCAGGAAAACACCACTTGGGGACCTGGTAACAAAATACTCTGGTTTAAAGGGGATTTGAGCCGGAAAGCGACGGCTGGGGACAGGAGGCAGATGTTGACTGTGTGATCACGCGTATAAAATACGTTTCTGAACTGGCACGACACCAGATCAAATGGCGCGTCTGACACACCCAGTGACTTGCACATCCATCTACAGGGCTCCGTGCTAGTCTGAGGATGAATTCATACTGCAGTCGATGCAACACCCTTGTATAAACAAAGACCAGAGGTTGCCTTGTTTAGTTTAGGACACCCAGGACTTAGGGTGGGTGGTGGTGGTGATAGAGAACATCACTGCATTCTACATGTATTTCAGGCTTAACACAAAGGACGGCTCCCATTTTGAGAAGAGCTGGGGCTACAACAGCTCATGATGGTTAAGCTGATCACAGAGTTTGTTTAGGAGTGAGAAGATCCAGATTAGAAAAATGGAGGGCTATGTTCACTTGAGGGGTGACCCCATGGTCCATGGGGTTGTGAAGAGTCGGACTCAGCTGTGCGACTGAACAACAACATGTTCACTTAACCTGGTTCCATGCAGCAGGACCCTCTTGACGTTCACTATATGACACACACACACCCCGGACGAGCCATCTAGAGTGATGTCATCTGCAAGTCTTGCTGGCATGATTCATCCTCAGCGTCTCTAGTGGGTCATTATTAGTGCATGCATACAGCACATTTCACATGTTCAGAAGACATCACGTATGCAAAGGGACCCTGCAGTAGCTCTATAAGTGGAGCCATGTCTCATGTGACTGTCCAAAGGCTTCATAGTGAGCTGATGCTGAAGGACTGGAAATTGGATGGGGTTCCAGTCCTTGGATTCCTCGCTGATCTAGGAGTAAGTCCTTGTCCTGTCAAGTGTAGATGCGGGGCGCTGTCAGTCCAAGTGCAGCTCCTCTTCCACCTCCTGTCCCGCTTCTATCATGAAGATTTGGGGCTGACTTTTCTTTCATCCGGTCAATATTTGTTATCCCGAACATCCCATTTTGCACTTTTCCTTTGGTTTTACTACTGTGGCCGCCTTTCATCAAAGCTGCTCAGCTCAGCTCTTGTCCCTGTTGTGTAAGCTTTCTGTGTCCCGGTAGTTTGAGGTGGGGTCTCGCTGATGCAAATGACCGGTACCTGGTCTAGTAGCAGTAGTGCTGACCTTCCAGGCAACTGGCTTGTTATAAAGTTAAGTGGAGTTTGTTGGCTGCCCGTCTGCGCTACCACTACCTCTTGGCAGTGTCTACGTTAGGCTGCTTCAGCCATCATGTAGCTCAGGGTTGGGCAACGTGTTCCATTGTGGCTGTTCCCCTCCCCTCAGACATTAAATCTATTAGTATTTGCTTTGTGAAATAATTACTTTCTTTTCTCCTGGGCACTTCACACTTTGGCCGGACAAACCATTCTGTGTCATTTTGTACCTAAGGTAAGGGAATGGTTTGCATGGTATAGTGCCAGATCAGGATCCAAGAGGCCCATGTGTGGATTGCCACCTTGGGTTGGGACAGTTTCTATCAGCCTGTTGCACAGGGTCATGGTTCTAAGGATAAAATGAAGGAAATGCGAACAATGCTGTAAGCCACTTTAGGTCTCCATTAGGGAGATAAATAAAGGATTATGGGAGGACCTCGGGGCAGATGGGAATCAGCAGAGGTCATTTGGAGCATCCTTCCTGTGTGTGCGCGTGCGAATGCTCTCATCTGGAGCTTTCTTATTCTTTGGAAGCAAGTATTCCTCTGAAGCACTAACCAGTTTAACACAAGACCCAGCCCAGTTTGCCAAGTATATAACCCTAGGGCACTAGGAAATAATATCCTGTGTAAATCTCTTTTGCCAAAGATTTTCCTGATCATGGCTTTTGTGGTTTTACCTGAGGGTTGTCTTGTCTACTGGATGATGTGCTGTATGTCCATTGCTAAGCACATCAGGCTGCTTTCTGTTTGCCTCTTTGAGGCTTCCTTTACATTTCTCAGCTGTTACAATATGCCATAGGTTGGTGGCACATTTTACAGTAAACACAATGGAACCAAGTCTCAGTGGTGAATGTTGCTATCACAGTGAGAGGCCTGCACTAGTAAGTAGTATCTGCCCTAAGTTCCCTTTTTAAAGGGACTGTTGTCCAGCTTCTGAGTTTGCATGAATATGTGGAAGAATATCTGCATTGCAGCCAGTTGGGACTGTCTTCTCAGCCTCCGTGTCCCTGGATTTGAGGTTGCCAGCCAGTGTGGTGTGAGCACAGAGTACCTCAGCTTCAGAGGGTCTCTCTCAACTGGTTGTTATATTTTCTGTTATTTCCTTTTCCCCCAGATACATAACATGGTGGCAGTACTGGAAGTGATCTCCAGCTTGGAGAAATACCCCATTACCAAAGAAGCCCTTGAGGTATGTTTCGACATTGAGCTCTTCCCTCCTTGATTGTTTTCAGTATGCAGCTAGCTTTCTGCACAGACTTTAAAAAGAGCTTCCTAAAGAGTCATCCTCTTTGTTTGAAAGGGGAACCACCACAGTGCTGACCATTTGGTTCCGGCTTCCCTGTCCCTGTATTTGGAATGCCGGGCTGGAAAGAAAATGGCAGGCCTTCTGTTCTGAGTGTGGGCAGGATACCCCCCCCCCCCCCCCCCCCCCAGCTGCCTCACCTTTTGCCTGCATGCAGTTGCTCCTCCAGGGCAGGCAAAGAAAAAAGTTGGCAGTCCAGGCATCTTGTAGCAAAATGCTCTTGTTGATTCTCACCTTGTTTAATTTTGGCTCCACTCAGCGCTTAAGACAGAGACAAGAGCTCCCTCACTGCCCCTTCCTTCAGCGTGGGAAGGCAGCAGCAGCACTTCGTGAAGAGCAGTATCACTTTCCCATATAGTGAATGGTGACTGTGGTGGGGTGGTCTGCGTGGCACATTAGGCAGAGTTGAGGGGACTTTGGGTCCTCAGCAGAAGTTCCAGGCCACAGCTCCTTATGGGTTCTTTTCTTCCCCTAATTGATGGGGAGCACAGACTACAGCTGTGGGCTGAAGCAATGGCACTAATGTCCCCCCTTCTGGTGCTGTTTTCCATGCAGTGCCCTGAAAAAGATACAAAGCGGGAAAAGTCGAGGGATTGGCTTAATGTGTTGCTGCCCATGTGTCACTCTAAACTGGGGGAATTCCATGGAAGTCCACAGTCACTCCCAGTTGGCTTGAACTCGGTCCTTGATTTGTGGGGCGTTTCAAGCCCTGCTCCATGCTTCACAAACGCTCAGCCATCCTGTTTTTTCTGATACGTGCAGGAGTGGCTCAGAAGTCCCTCCCCCCATATCTTATTAGCTGATTTTAGTGGTGGTTTTAGTGGCAAGCTTTGCCCTGCCCTAGTAACCTGCGCTCTACAGCAGACAGTTAATCCTGCCACGATTTTGGAAGGGGGGGTTTGAAGGTGTGCACACGCACATACACACACTGTTCCTTGTGTTCCTTCTGGTTCTACCAAAGTTGCTGTTCCCAGGGGAGGGGGTGGATGATTTAGCTTCTCTGTAAAGTAGCATTTCCAGGTGTGTCAGTTTGGAGGAAGAAATCCTCTGCTCTTGCATGTCCTCATGGGATTCATGGGTGGCCGTGGCACCACTTGACTGTGAATCTTGTCAGGTGACCTCTCTGTTCCTTGTTTCCTTTTCTTTTTAATAGGAAACGAGACTGGGCAAGCTGATCAATGATGTGCGGAAGAAAACGAAGAATGAGGAGCTGGCCAAGCGTGCAAAAAAACTGCTGCGGAATTGGCAGAAGCTGATCGAGCCCGTAACACCAAATGAGGCTGCCTCAAGGGGGTTGTCAAACCCACCTGGATCGGCAAATGGTGGCGCTCATAACTGCCGCATGGAAACTCCCCCTGTGGTTGTGGTTGGATCAAAGCCCGTTCACGATGTGAAGAACAGGAATGATGTCCAAAAATTGAACTCTCCGAAATCAGAGAGGCCAGGGAGCCGGAAGCGGAGAGGTGAACCCCATGATGGCCACCAGGGCCCTCCTCCATCTAAAGCTTCTAAAGCCAGCTATGAAGTATTGCAGAACTCTTCCCCGCCCCCAACCAATGGGATTGGGGGGAGCCCAGAGAGTTTCCCCAGCCCTCCGGAGGTGACCACACTGCCCGTGCCAGAAGGGAGCCGAGTGGAGCTGGGTGAAAATGACAAGCCCAGTAAGATTCCGGTCAATGCAGTCAGGCCCCACACCAGCTCCCCAGGGCTCTTCAAACCTACGGGAACTTCGTTGTTGCTCAAGACGGCAGTGTTGCTGCAGCAGCATGAGAAAGCGGAGGAGGCTGCCAGCCAACCCCGGAGCCCGCGTTGCTCCTCGTTCAGTCCAAGGAGTGTTAGGCTGGAAACATTTTCTCGGCAGCATACCACATGCTCTCTAAAGGGCTCCGTGCCCATTCCGTCTCCAAGGCCTCCCCTCCTGGAAGCTGCAGCAGCAGTACCCTTATCACCACCTCTTTCTCTGACACAGCCGTCAACGCCACCAGCCTTGGCCAGAAGACTGGAGGCATCTCAGCAGGTGGGCCCAGAGCCACCACTGCATTCCCAGGAGCAGCAGGCAGCACCTGAGAGTCAACATTGGCTCGCAGCAGGAGTATCCCCTGATGGTGGGAGTGGCCTGCACCTTTCTGATTCCTTGGCTGGCTTCTCGCCAGACACCTCAAAGGTGGACAGCGACAGTGCTGCATCAGGGTCTGACAGCAAAAAGAAGAAAAAATACCGCCCCAAAGACTACGTGGTCAACTTGGATGGGCAGGCACTAGAAGCAGGTGTCAAGCCTGTCCGGTTAAAAAAAGAGAGGCGACTCACCTTCGACCCCAAGACGGGCGAGATTAAACCTTTAACGCAGAGGGACTCTCTGCAGGCGGACCTCCCTGCTTTTGCTCAGCAGCACAGGACAGACACAGACAGGCAGGAGCAAACCCTGCCCCTGCTGCAGAGTCCCTTTGAACAAACTAATTGGAAAGAATTGTCCAGGAATGAAATCATTCAGTCCTATTTGGATAGGCAGAGTACCTTGCTATCCTCTTCAGGAGTGCAAACTCCAGGGGCCCCTTACTTCATGTCTCAATATTTAAAGCAAGAGGAAAGCACTAGGAGGGAAGCCAGAAAGACCCACGTTCTGGCTCCAGTCAGCAGCAAACCCACAAACTTGCCTGGGGTGACACGAGAGGTTATGAGGGAAGACCTCGAGAGAATATCTGACCACCATTGGCCAGGTGTGAATGGTTGCTATGATACACAGGGTAACTGGTATGATTGGACGCAGTGCATATCGCTAGACCCACACGGGGATGACGGGCGCCTGAACATCCTGCCTTATGTCTGCATAGACTGAGTACAGTTTTGCTAAGATGCTTTTTTACACTGGCAGATAGTAAAATGGGCAGGTGCTACACCACCCCCCATCCCCGCCCCGCCCCCGTCACGCTGAAACAGGCTCACCAAGCAGAGGGTATGTACAAGAACTGGATACTGGCAGTTCCTCTGTTTTGTGAGGAGCTGCTACCAGTTTACTAACACAAATTGCAAAGGAAGGCATAATGAAGATTGGTTTAAAAACACACAGAGTTTGTAGAGCTCCAAACTCTCTAGCAAGCCAGCCCTTAAAAAGTGTTAGTCCCCACAAAGTGAGAGGTGTTTCCAGCACTTTGAATTCCAGAATCTGAGGACAGGCAGGTACAGGCGGGCATTGTGGAAGTGGAACATTAACACAGTAGGTGAGTCTATTTATTTGTCTTGATTTGGTTTTCTTTTTCTTTTCTTTTTCTTTTAAAAATATAATATGACAGTGAGATATCGGGAAATGAACTGTGCAGAACTGTAGTTACCTCTTATTTGCATTGCATCTCTGCACACCAGTTGTGTGCTCTTGAGCAGTCTCTTGGTGCAGAGGTTTGGTTTGCCACAATGTGTTGTGCTAGGAGTCCAGGGGAGAGGGGACATAACTATCTTCAGCTCAGCATTCTGCCGTCTGATCTGGGTTCATGTCAATCCAGTCTAAAAGATGCTGCTGAAAATGTTACTGTTCTCCCAGCATCACCACCAGCCAGTTTGTGTGCGTGCTCCCCAGCAAAGTTTTGTAGGGGAGTGAGGGAAGAATCACTCTTTTTATTTTTAAAAAATCAAAAAGTAATGAGGGTGCTACTAGTTTGTAAATGTCCTGTGAATGGGAGCCTGTTTGTATGCTGGAAATATACTTGTTACCATTCCTTTAGATATTGTTTGCCTTATGGGTACCCATCACAAATGCGATTTGCAAAAACAGAGCCTTAGTGAATGTACAGTAACTAGACTTCTGTGTTCCCGAGACGCAGAAGGAGCAACTTTGCTATTGGTCCTTTAAGTGGACACGTTGTGATATAAATGTGGAAATAAAAGAAATTTGCACAAAATGCAGTGTTGCTTTTATATTTATGTATTTAACATTAGTTTTGGCTGGTGAGTTCCACCTTGTTTGGGTCCATGGGGATATGTTGTTCCACTTGCTGCTCTTAGGCTGTGCTTGTCTAGGTGGATTTTAAAATGTATATAGTTTTTATCATGTTGGTAGAAGTAAGTTGGAGCTCATTCTTTGTCTTGTCAGAAATTACATTTTGTGTTGAACACCCCCACCCCCACACACCCCTTACTGGGATTAGCCTTCAGCCTAGGTTAATCTGCTCTGTCTGTTAATGAGATGACAGCAGAAGCTTCCACTTGTGACTTTCAGATCTCTTTCCCGTGAAAGAATCAGACAATGCAGCTTGCCTGTATGATTTGGCCCTTGTCTGCTCTCTGTTTCTGCAACTAGGCTCTGCTTGTGACCATGTAGATATTTGCTTGTCAGCGCTAGGTAATTGTGGGGGGCCCCTTCACATCTGGGATGAGAAAGCAAAGTTGCGCAGGCCTGTTTCTGACTGAGAAGAAAGCCATGCTCCCCTGCCTCAGTGACAGCGAGATGTGAATGTCATACTCATTTGCTGCAGTAGCAGGAGCACAATTAGGGAAGGGAGGAGCAGGTGCTACCGTGATGTGGGAAGCATTCTGCCCGTACTCAGTGGGTTGGATCCTGTGCAAGATCTTGACTGGCAGAATGGATTTCCATCAGCAGAGCTGGACTTCCCTGCATCCTGCTGCAGCCCAAAATGCTGCCACCTCAATAAAGCTACTCCTGGGGACACTTAGGAACAGCATTTGGGGGGGGGGGGGAGAGCTGGAAAAAATGCCCCCCCCATCCATGGGCATTTCAGCCGGATCACAATCCAGTGCATTTAGGTTTCAGTGTGTGCTTGCTTCAAACCTCTTGTAGGATGACCTGGTGAGTGAAGAGATCAGGGCTGAAGATGCAGTTCTGAGTTCACTTTCCTAGGGGTAAGTCTCCTTGAACTCAGTGGCCTGACTTCTGAGTACTGTCTCTAAATCCGTTCTCTCTGCTTTGGTTTGGGCTGTTTTTCTTTGAATTGATTGCTGTGTGTGTATTGTTAACCAGCAGTGGGACCGTGTTTGCAGGCGCAGAAGTCACTATCGTGCATAGGAAGACAGTAACTGATTGTGGCAGAAGCTTTTCATGCACGGGGCAGGCATAGAGAAGTGAATTGTTAAACACTGGGGTCCAGTTACTGTGCAAGGCTGCAATGTATACAAGATAAGAACAGAATGACCTATTTGGAGCAGCAGTGAGTGGTGATATAACATGGTTTTCCTAAGTTTGTGGTGCTTGTTGACTTAAGATAATCTCGGAGGAGGTAGCACTTCAAACAAGTTAGTCTGCTACAGCAGAACAAGCTAGTGAATTGAATCCTGTGCGTCCATTCCACCACCAGTGTCACTTTGTCTAGGGTGCTTCCCCGATGCAAGCAACTTTGTTAGACTTTCAAGAGTCATGAGACCTCAGAACGTTTTGCATCTTGTGAAGACTCCTTGCATAGAAAGGAAGTTCCACCACTAGGAGAATGGCTTTGTGGGATCCAACTCTTGTTTTTTTTAAAGACTAGCAGACTTATTGTGGTGTCCATGGGAGATTTTGTCAAATGAATCTGTTAGTCTTAAGGGACCACAAGGTGCTTTTGTTTTCCTTCATGCATGTGATGGAGGCGGCCTTGGCCCCCCAAAGTTTCTGCCACAAGAGGACTGTAACCCTCAGCAGAATATCTAGGAGTCAGCGTTGTTGGGATTTCCTTCTGAGCATATATGCTATGGATCACACTGTGAGTCTGTGTTTTAACACGTCACTAGTATCACACTCCTCAGGCTGCAGTCCTTTCTCCATTATTTGGGAGTAGGCCACTCTCAACTGACTTCTGAGTAAAGCTGCACATCTTGAGGCTTTGGGTTCTTATTATACCTTAAGAGCCCGAGCTGGGTGGGAGGGACTGGCTGCTGGCCCAGCTGATGCACAAGTGCCCTTTCCCCTCCTCCCTGGCAGGCTTACCTGGAGGAAGACTGGAATTCCTAAAGGTTGACAGGTCATTAGTCCGTGGTGGTGCCTTGTCTTTTTGTCAACATTTGCCGGACCCCAGATTTGATGGCCCACTGGTGCCAGAGTGCCTTCTTGCAGCCAGGTCTCTTTTTAAGTAAGATCTTTGGCCCTTGTGATGGGCTACTGTCACCCCTTCTGTATGTACCCTTGCTACCTGTTGAATTGCTGTTGGCTTTTGATTTTATGCTGCTGCATTGTACTATTGGTTATATTTTTAGCAGGTATTATTCTTAAATTGTACACTGCGTTGGGAACCCTGCTGAGAGAATGCAGCATAAGAAGTATATTAACCAAACAGGTTACCATGATGTAACTTAAAATTTATGGAGCTGCTTCTCTTTGTGCAGTTTTGTATCACTGTTTTTGGTTTAATGAATACTGGTTTTAACATTCCTATTTGATTTTAAAAGGAAAATGCAAATAAATACTGATTCCAAAGATACCTGGAGCCAAGGAAGAGGCTGGGCAAAAAAACCCCCCTCCCCCTCAAAATTCTGTATGATGAAGCCCTTTTCAATTTTTGCCCCTGGTTGTGGAATTCCTCATATCTACTTGTGAGCTCAGCCTCTCTCTTTGCCATGTCTGTACTAAGATTACTGGTCTTAACACTTTGTTTTTTTCATGTTTCTGTTACTGTAAATCATCTTGAATACTTTTGAGCACGGGAAAGTAGGACAGAAATGCCCTCATAAACTAGATAACATATTTTAAGTGAGGGATGGGCTATCAGTATGGAGAAATTTAAATAAAACTGCTAATTTCTACTTTTTAATGAGAAACTGAAAAGATGACAAAATGAGCAGTTCAAGCCTTACAAATTAATATTTTTAAAGTGGTGCAGAATAAATTTTTCGAAGGAGGTGGTACATTAACAGAAAAAATAGTAGTTACTAATATGGGTTTAAGTCCTAGCGGCAAGCTGCCCTTCCGCGCATGCGCACTAAGCCCTTTTGCAGCCGAGCCTTCCCTCTCTTGGACCCAGGCGGTCGCAGCATGGCTTCCTCTCTATGATCACGCGAAACAAGAGCGGCCATGTACCTCATGGGTTTCCGTAGGCAAGCCCGGCATTTACTTCCTGTCGGTGGGCGGAACTGACGTACTGAAGCGCGCGCCTTCCTGTGAGGGTGACGCGCCCGCTCCTGGTCCGGCGGCAGCGACAGAGGTGGCCTCGCCGGTCGGGATGGCGTCGCCGGGACCTCCGCCGTCGGCCGCACCCCCTCCCCCGTCGTCTCCCGCCTCTTCCGCGGGGGGCCGCGGCCCGTCTCGCTCTGCCACGTCCTGGGCCTGGTGGCGCTGCTGCCCCCCCTGCTGCGCGCCTGGCGCGTCCCCGCCGCCGGCCCCTCCCAGCTGCCGCCCCGTGCCTACCCCCGAATCATCCTCCCGCTCGCCTTTGGCAAGTACCTCGCCTCCATCAGCGCCCACGTCTCCCTCTGGCGCGTGCCCGTCTCCTACGCCCACACCGGTGAGAGCGAGAGTGCGCGCTCGCGCGGACTGGGGGAGCGGGCGGGGGAGGAGGAAGTGCCTCTGAGCCCCGTGCAGAGAGCGAGCGGGAGGGTTGTTTCATAGGGTGGAGTGCCAGCTTCTCTTGCTTTGACTCTCGAAAGATGACATCCCGGAAATCTCGCTCATCTCTTAAGTTGCTACTGGACTAGAACCTCATAGGGTCGCCAACTTCCAGGTGCGACCAGGAGTTCTCCCAGCTTTGCAACTGGTCTCCAGAGTGTCCTTGGAGACAATGACAGCTTAGGGGGGAAATCACATGCCACTTGACTTACATTTCCTCCTCAAACACCACTCCCAAATCCCCAGGAATTTCCCAACCTGGGGGTGGCAGCCATATTCTGCTGTTGAACTGCATACGGACCGTGGTGGCCCTGTGAGAAGAATGCTTCTGAGCCATGTGCCTTCTGAGTGTCTTCAGAGAGAGGAGGAAGGGTTGGGACTTACTCATATTTAAACCAGTGAAGTAGCCTGCTTTTCTCCTTACCCAGAATTGTCCTGTTCTGCATTTTATCCTCACAACAACCATCCTGCAGGGCAGGTTAGGCTCAGAGGGAGAGATTGGCCCTAGCTGCCTAGAGAGCCATGGCAGAGGGGATTCAAACCTGGGTTTTTCAGATTCTAGTCCAGCACTATAACAACTCTAGCTCTATGGTTAAATTTTGTTTCCAAGACTTTGGAGACTTAGGAGCACTCTGCATTTACTCAGAGACATTTTCCTATATTCAGAAGGGGAAGAGGAGTTGTGAAGCATGAAAAGTTTTCTACTGGCAGAGCTGTAAAATGAATATCCTTGGGCAATGTGTTGAGTGCCTGTAATGGAAAGCTGTTTAGTTGTTGTGGCTAACATGGCCGGGACGTCCCAGGTTCAAACCTCCTGCTTGACCCTAAAGCTCACACTCTGCTGTCATATCCACCAGGATCAACTTTCTGCTGACTTTTTCTTCTCCTGTCTGAACTTGTCTTTTAGCTTTTCTAGTCCCTCTAACCCTTGTTCCTCCCTCACCTTTCAGTGAAGGCAACTATGCCTATCTGGGTGGTTCTGCTGTCAAGAATCATAATGAAGGAAAAACAGACTACAAAGGTAAGAGGAGATATGCTCTCTCCTCCTTCCAGAAGAGCAAAGTGTTGAAGAAGCCTTTGGGGGATGGGCAGCGGGGTGTCCTCTTGACTCCCAAGCCCTTTTCTGTTGTGGAAGGGACTTCTCCGTTTGGAGAGCTGTCACTTGAAGCGCTGCCTTCTCCCTCTTGCAGGTGTATTTATCCCTCATCCCCATCATCGGTGGAGTTCTGCTGGCAACAGTCACAGAGCTGTCATTTGACACGTGGGGGCTTGTGAGTGCCCTTGCTGCAACTCTCTGTTTCTCTCTTCAGAACATTTTCTCTAAAAAGGTATGTCTCGAATCTCGGCCTTTCCTGGGTAGCTACACTGTGCCAGTTCAGGCCAGGGGTTTTAACTCGGGTCTTTTTCCAGATCAGGATTTGTACCTCGGCTCCTGGTGTACGTGGAAGATGGGTGGAGGCATAAAGTTCTGGAAATTTTGAGTCCAAAAAACCAAGAACAAAATCCACGTGTAGGACCAACCGAGTTGACACAAAACATTGTGCGTGTTTTTAAACCTGCAGGCTGGTTGTTATAATTTTTTTTAAGTTAGTGTTCTGGGGAGCAGATTCTTCATGACATGATCTTGCAAGTCTACGGTATGAAATATATGGTGGAACAAAGCTGTACGGCTGGTAGACTAACAAGTCTTGCTTTGAGATTTTGCATAGACCAATATGACCCTCTGGGAAAAAAAATTAAGAAAAATTGAAATACTTACTTTGAACAAAACGTATTTTGCTACTTTAACAATATAACAATATATATAACGTAGCATATAAAGTTGTTCTACATGACATACTTAAGATACTTGGGAGCGTCCTAGTTTCCTACCAACAAAACTGCAAGTATATGCAATATAAGAGAGAGCTAAAACTGCACCCTCAACCATCTTTGCTCACATATCTTAGCTCTTGTCATCTGAGAAATAGGGAAAGATATAAATTTAGGAGTAAACAAAAGAATAAACTTTGAACAGACGTAGTCTCACAGTCACAAAAGTTCTGTTGAGTTAAACTTTATAATATTGGAAATCATCAAGAGAAGAAGATACGGGATTTATACCCCCGTCCTTCACTACCCGAAGGAGTCTCAGAGCGGCTTACAATCCCTTTACCTTCCGCTTCCCACAACAGACACCCTGTAAGGTAGGCGGGGCTGAGAGAGCACTTTCGAGAACTGTTCGTGAGAGAACAGCTCTGAAAGAACTTATGACTGACCTAAGGTCACACCAGCAGCTCCATGTGGAGAAGTGGGGACTCAGACCCGGTTCTCCCAGATTAGAGTCTGTATCCCTAACCATTACACCAAACTGGCTCTCAAGATATTCAATAGTGTATTATCATCCTGTAGGTGGTGGTATTAATTGTAAACGAAACTAGTCAGGTTTGCACAACAAATATGTCCTTGAAAATATTGTATGTTTTCGCAGAATACTCAAGAATTATTCTCTAATACTACACAGCTTCATAGTACACATAGTACACACTAGCCTTTTTTTAAAAAAGCATTTCACTCATTCCAAAGGAAAATATTTCATAGGAAAAAATTTTCCTATGAAAAATTGAAACAAATCCTTAAGGAGAAAAACAGGCCCCTCTCCCCTTTTCCTGAACTCTTTGGGGGAGTGCTTTCTTAGACTTTCACACCTCTGCAAGTGGGATCCCCTATCACTTAGAAAGTATCATGGGCTGTCTGATGGTTGCTTTGCAGAAGGGAAGCTGAAGTTGAGATAAAAAGCTAGCTGTTTTTCCTAGCTCATTCTTGCCCATTCAGTTCTTCCACTTCTGTGGAAGTAGGAGCAGGAGAATATTTGATTTCTTGCCAGGATGCTTGGGTTTTTTGGGTGGACAAACCATCCAGTTTTTCAAGAAGGGTCTGCTTTTGTCATCCCCTTTCTCTTTCCAGGTACTGAGAGACTCGCGAATACACCATCTCAGGCTGCTGAACATCCTTGGGTGCCATGCTGTGTTCTTTATGATCCCAACGTGGGTCCTTGTTGATCTTTCTTCCTTCCTTGTAGAGAATGACTTGGTATGTCTGAGGGCAGCTCTGCAATGGGATTTGTGTCACCTTAATCTTGCCTGGGCACTTCTGCTGGAGCTCAGCCATAGAAGGCCCTGTTGTCTGCACTGATGTTTGCTCCTTATTCTTACTTGCTGCAGCCTTTGGTCTTTCTGCCTTGTGGCTTCTGGTTAGAGTTGGCACTGAGTGCAAATCTTGGTTATCTGCTTATTGGAAAGATGACAGATAGCAGGATATGCAGAGCTGTTGGCCAAAAGAAAAGCACTGCAGTTTTTAAAAAATCTAAATACAGATGTGAAGACCAAAAGGCTTCATTAGGCAGGCACAGCTGGAATGACTGGGAACCCTGACCTGCTGCACCCATGTGCGGCCCCCCCAACTCCCCCCCCCGCTGGAAATTCTGGAAAAGATTGAAAAAGGTTGATACAGAGTTATATTTGCTTTGCTTAAATATTTTTACTCTGGTTTTCCCCCTGAAGGGACACAATGTGGCTCACAACAACAATAAGAAGAAAGAATAAAATATAGCTAAAGCAAACAACAAAGTATGATCCTGGGTTCAGTGGTTGGCTCCTCCAGAATCGTGGGCTGTGAGGCAAAGGGCCTTCCCTCTCATACACAAAGGCTCAAGCCTCTGGCCACATGCAAGCTTTATACTTGCAGCGGGAAGGGTAAAACAAACACTCAGGTGTTATAATTGGCAGAGATATTCTTCCCAGACAATTTTCCTTTCCCTGCTCTTTTCTTTTCAGAATTATAAGGAAAGAACAACCAAAAGAAGTATTGTGGCATTCCTGTTAAAAACTAATGGATTTATTGAAACAGGCTTCTGTAGGCTAGAGCTCATTGCTAGACAGATTTAACCCAATTTTCTCACTAAAATAATGATCAGAACACATTATAAAGCAAGGATTTAAAGTTGCCTTGTTAAATGCAGTCCTGGATGATTCGTAGTTCCAAGCCTAAGGTCAGTGGGGATGGCACGGCTACATTATCTGCCTGGATTGTAAAACAAGAGACCACCTTAGGGATTGATGCTGGAAAAGTACTTTCAGAAACTGCAAGATACTGAGTATCTTTAGGGATTTAATCCAGATGAGAAGCCTGCCTCGGCACCACTGCTGGGTCCTATGGCTTCTCAGTTGTGTCATATTTCTCTTTCATGTGAAACCGTCTGATGCGTTTTTGTGTAGGGGCAGTTTTCTCTGTGAGGCAAGCCCGGAGATGTATGTTCCCACAGAAAGATAAGGGAAGTTGTGTGCATGGTGGTAAATACCTCCTGACTTCTCACCGTGAGAAGAGACTTGGCGAAGGTGGGGTTCAGATAAGAAGGTGGGCTGTCTGCACAACACATTCCTGTTATCATAGCACACAGTAGTATGCTGGTAACTTTCGATGTGCATGGAAGGGGAGGAGGGAGAAAGAAGGGGGGAGAAAGGGGGAAGCTAAGCTTAATAAAAACGCTGCAAAGTGAGAGAGCTTCAGACAACTTCTGCAGATGTTTGCCTTGTGTCTTCTTTGAACCCTTCAACCTTCATTTTTGTAAATACACAATCCAGAAATAAGAGAGGGGAAGTTTCTTATTTTCTTTGCTGTTTATATAGGAACTTCTTTCCTCTTTATGCAAAAGCTTCCGTTGCCTGGAATCCATAAAGCTTGAAATGGAAAGTCAGAAGCAGAACCTGGTGATTTAGGGGAAGAATAAACTTGAATTATGCTGCCATTCTGAAGAATAACTTATTTGTTGAGATTAAGTATAATAGAAATAAATGCAAATAGACACGCATAGCTCATCTTCTTTGTAGTTGCTACGGCATTGCCTAATTGCGTGCAGGCCTACATACCATTTCTGGTCTTTTGTACTAAAGCCTTCCGTTGGGTATTGCAATGCTGGTGTTTTTTGTTTTGCTTTCAAATGTTTCCAACTGGCCCATCCGAGGTCTCCTGGGGTGCAGCAGCTTGCAGCTCCATCTCTGACATGGGTAAACCTGTAATGATTGTTTGAACGAAACAGGCATTCGTACTTTTAAATGGTATAAATATATCACGTAGAACGAGTGATACATATGATACTTTTAAACCAGTATGGAAAATTTGATTAGGAAGTGTAATTCTTTAAAAGCATTGCTTCAGAATTCCCGGAAGTTTTACATGTCTTGGTAATCTGATGGCTCTAGAGGAGCCGAAGTTGAGGTCGAGGTGGTTTCAGAAAGACTGCCCAGATTTGTTTGATGAGGGCAGACTGGGATGGTGAATGGCTGGGCAGGGTGTTCTGGGCTTTAGGAGGGGGAGAATTGTGGAGGAAGGAGAGTTAGGGCTGACTGTTGGGGAGTTCTGGTGGAGCGGGAAAGGATTGCTGTACTCTGTTTCTCAGGGGACAGAGGCTGTGCTCCAGGAAGCTGAAGGGGTCCTCCAGTAGGCCGAAGCTAAGGGAGGGGCATAAGAAAAAGAGGAGGTGTCTTGACTGACCATGGGAGACAAGCTTACAGTCATATATGACCAGCATGCAGTAACTCTCTGTATCCCTCCCTTTCTGTAAGAAGGTGAGGCAGCATGCATGGTGTCCTCCATTTTGCTGTCACAACAGCAATCCTGTGGGGTAGGCTGGGCTGAAAACTTGACTGGCCCGAGGTCACCTGGAAAGGTTAATGGTTGTTTTGAACTTGTATCTCCCCCAGTCTTAGTTCGACATGCCTAAACTCTACTTCACTCTGGCTTTTTCTGGCAGAGTTCGATGGCCCACTGGCCTTGGACCGTCCTCCTCCTGGCCATCAGTGGCTTCTGCAACTTTGCCCAGAACGTCATTGCCTTCAGCATCCTGAACCTCATCAGCCCGCTGAGCTACTCTGTCGCCAACGCCACCAAGAGGATCACAGTCATCACAGTCTCCTTGATCATGCTCCGCAACCCTGTGACTACTACCAACGTGCTGGGCATGATGACGGCCATCCTGGGGGTGTTCTTATATAACAAGGTATTGATGTAACGGGCAGCGGAGAGCTGCGGCCTTTCCCATGGGGGAAACCATGGCCTGTGCAGCAGTGAACTGAGATGTAGGTCAGCTTCAGAGGTTACCATCCCTTTCCCTCTCCCTCTGGCCAGGAAGAGTTGCAGGGTGATCCTCATTGGGGCTGGTGGGTTTCTTCCTCACATCCTGTCCTGAAACACTGAGCACTTCCTCAGTTGTTTGGAAGCCCTGAATGAAATGGTAGAAGCAGCAGTCCCAGAGAAGTGGCATGCCCGTTGCCATCTTCCCAGGAAGGCTAAAGAATGACACTGTGTTATCTGCAGATAGAAATACACTGAGCCATGGTGGGCATTCACGTGTCTCCACATCTCTGAGGGTGCTCTGGGCCTGATTCCAAGCAGGCAAAATCCAAGGGAAATCTGCCCATGCCTCCTTTTCATCTGTGTAGTCCTTCGCACACAACACAACATATGGACATACGGAGCTGCTTTATAGTGAATCAGGCCATTAGTCCATCATCACAGTTAGTAATGTCTATTCAGACTGGCAATGGGTCTCCAAGATCTCAGGTAGAAGTTTCCTTATATTGCCCACTGCCACATCTTTTTAACTGGAGATGCCAGGGATTGCTTACCAGGCAGATGCTTTACTAGTGAGCCACAGCCACTCCCATCTTCTGTAGCTGCCGCCTGTTGAGTCCATCTCTTGGTCCTTCTTGCTCTCTGATGAGCAGCAGTTCTTTCCAGCACCTGATATTAGCAATCCCTTTAACTGGAGATGCTGGGGCTTGAACCTGGGGCTGCCTTTCCCCCTCCCTCCCACGCAAGTGTACCCAGCCCAAACAAAAGCATTCTCCTTAATCCATCCCTTTCAAGGTCCTTCTCTTGGAAAGGCTCCAAGCTGATCTGTTCGGCGTCTCTTATTAACCCTGTCCAGCAATCTATAGAGGCAAATTAGCTGGTACGTTTTCAAGACCAGGAGATGCAGCCCTCGTTGAGAAATGCTCATGATGTGCTCTCTCTGAGAAAATAAAGCTTATAAACTTTTATTCTGCAGACAAAGTATGATGCAAACCAGGAAGCAAAGAAGCACTTCCTTCCAATGACAACAGGGGACCTTGTGAACCTGGAGCGTCACCGGAGCACGCCTGAGAAGTCTCAGAATGGACTTGCATCATTCACACAACGTGGGGACTTCCAGTATGGCAGGAACAACGTTCTAACTGATCACTTTCAGTATAGCCGGCAAAGCTATCCAACTGTCTACAACTCCAATCGGTATGATATATAGTGTGTGGGGGCCTGTTCGTGGCACAGACTGTTGACGCAGGGTTTCCCCCCCCAGCATGCCTGTTGGGGCTTCAAAGAGACATCTTGGCTGCTTGTGTTGCACAAAGGAAGGTCCCTGCGCTAGAAGACTTGAGGGGCCTTTTCCCTCTGAAGTGGAGGCCTCTCTTTACCAAGCAGTTTCTCAATGGAAACAGGATGCTGCAGCAAGTTGTGTAGGACATCCTTGGGTGGAGACTGGCAAAGAAAGCAAGAGCCCCAGTCTTCATCTCTCTGTAGCTGCTGTGCCCCTGAACCTCTTGGTTGCTGGCAGCTATGTGGCCAGTATTTCATCTTGCAACCTCCCCACTGGATTGTGGATTTGCACGCTGCCTTGCTGTTTTGTTCAGAAGCTGCTTTCAGAGTGTAGTTTGCAAAGAGCAGCACTCCTTGTCCCTTCCTCTGTGAAGCTTCTTGACAAAGAGAAGTGAGAGTGGGTAGCACTTATGAGGTGGGGGCATGTGTGCGTGAATAGCTGTCTGTCTCGTCCTCTGGCTCACATATCATTGCAAAGGGGTGTTGGGAAAGGCCTTTGATGCTTTCAATTCAGTGTTGGTTCAGGTATGTAGGAGACAGAACAGTAGCGAGTTCAAAAGAATCATGTACCAGAAGGGTTTACTGTCATTAATGTGTGATATGGACCTCAAAGACTTCTGTTAGTTCCTTTCCCCTTTAAATCATGAGATCCAGCATCTTTTTCAGTGACCTGAGCAATAAAACACACTCCTCATTAAAGATGCACATTTGGAACAGTGCTAGCTTAAGCAGTCATAACCTTAGTGTTAACATTTTGCAATGGTGGAGACCTCAGATGCTGGGTATTTCCTGGATTTCTCTCCATTTTGCAGGAAGTTGTGTGTGTAGGCATGTTTTCAATTGCTTTTCATTATGGTGTGTTACAGAACTTTGGCATCTGTATTGTAACTCAAGTGTATTTGTTTGGAGCACCTGCTGCTCTTGTTCAGGTTTCTCTTCTTTGGTGTATCTGGCCGTTTTCTGTTCCCCACCTGGCCCCAAGTCCTGCTTTTGGAGTTGGAGTGTCCAGCCATTGTATGGCACTGTTGTGAATTTAAGCCCAAATCAGTGCTTT